AGTCTGACCCACTATTCCAGATCTCTCCCTCTACAAACGCAATGTTTTGTTTGTGTCATACAGTGAGTCACCAGCACGGTTGGGAACAGACCCAGGATTCCTGATCTTTTTGCTTGCTGAGGCTTTTTGCTGGAGATCACAATCCTTCCACATTAGTGGCCAGTTACATTTATGGCTCTTAATGACATTTAATTGGGCTTCTGGGATATGGAAATGCTGGGGAGTGAAGACTAGGAGATTAAAAGAAAATCAAAATCTGTGATGACACACAAGATCGTTGTTACTGAAGATTTAAAAATGGCAATGAATCTCATGGTGTCATTCCACTGGGAAATGATCCCTAGATCTCAGGAAGAATGACCTTCTCACCTGTCTGGAAACTGGATAAAAAAAAAAAAAAGGAAAGGGCAAGGTGGAAGAGCCAGCAATCCCTAGAAGCTATGTCCTCTTAATTTTGCCTTATGTCCCTTCCATTATACATAGGACATGCTAGTGTTTGCCCCTCATGTCCAGGCCCACTGTCCTAACTCTTATAACAGAGGACTGTGATTCATGGTAAAAGAAGTGGTCTAGATGTCAGGCAATTAAACCCCTCTACCACTAACGGGCCTTGGGCTCTCAAGCACCTCCTGGACACCTTTAATTCCCATAGTTATAAAACAGTCTGCCCTGCTTGGCCCAAAGTTCACACACTGCTCTAAACAAAGGAAGAAGCTGCTGTCCCCTCCCCCACACTTATACCCACCTTGTACCTAGGCTGCTTGTGATTTTTTTTTTTAAATCATCTTCCAGGGAACACCCCCCCCACACACACATAGCAGACACCCCAAAACCAAGCAAAACAGGAAGAACAGCAGTAAAAGCTTAGGGTGAGAGGCAGGAGGGGGTGGGCACACAGGAAAGAGGTTGGTGATGGCTGGAGACTGACAGGGGCCAGGAAGGTGTTCTAAGTGAGCTGGAGTGTGGGAGAGGTGAGGTGCTTCTGGTGCTACCTGGCAAGAGTAGCTAACCCAGGACCGCTGAATGATGGTCAGAAATAACTGACAGCTGCTGCTTATCCACAAGGCTCAATTTCCAGGACATAGCCGCCACCAACCATTTTGCTTAAATCTTTTGAGGAGATAAATGGTCTCTAATTTGTTTTTGGCATGAACATGCTGTTCCGATCGGAAAGTTTCTGTTGTAAGAAGATGAAGATAGAGGAGAAACCGAGAGCTCTTCACGTGGGCAGCTCTGGCCACTGGTGTAGCAGGGGAGGACTCGACCCTGCAGGATGACCTCTGTAGTTCCGGAAGGATAGACCTGGCAGGGCCAGGATTGAGAGAAGCCAAACCTTATCACCAAAAACTGTGAACTTTGGAGTCTGCTTGATTCCCATCTTGCCACCCATTAGCTGTGTGACTAAAGAAATCACCTTGGGTCCCGATTTTCTGAAAAGATGTCAAAGAAGGAAATGAGAAAGGCTGAGGAGATCAAGGAGAATCCTCTGCAGCACACTGGTACTGGGATCCTGCCCTCAGGAAGCTTCCACAGCAACCTTCCTCAAGGGGAGAGGGTTTGGAGACCAAGCCATGACCTGAATACCGAGGGGTTAAGTTCCTGGTTTCTGTCCACACGACTAATGAGAAATTAGAAATAATCAAAACATGATACATGGGCCTAGTCATGACCAACTAACTGACAGATCACATAAAATCTCAACCACAGCGTTTCTCTACCATCAGGGACAGGAGCCTAAGCCGAGAGGGGGTGGGGAAGAGTGAGGGTCTCAAGGGCACAGGAAACCCTTCCTGCCTGACTTTTGGGCAGGCAATCCGTCCGTTCTTGTGGCTGTAATCATGGAGGGCTTTCTGGAGGAGGTTCAGAGAGGGGGTGGAGCTCCTGTTTTCATCACCCCTGTACGGCTCAAAAGGGCAAAGTCGAACCCCGAATCCACCCTGAGGCGAGAGGAGCATTGACCTCAAAAACCTTTCCTAACCTAAGACCCGGTTCCTTTAAGGCAGCGAAACCTACTGAATATTGTCTCCACCGCCTCCCGCGGGCGCGTTGACGTCACCCTTCGGGGAAGCGGGTGACGCCAGCGCGTCCTCTGCGAGGGGGCGTGGCCGTGACTCAGTCCGCTGGGCGCGCACGTGAGCGTCCGCCACGCCGCGTTCTAATTTTAGGCGGGCCGTCCGCGCGGGTCGCGCGAGGTGAGGCGGGCAGCGTCGCCGGGGGGCAGGGTCCCCGAGAAGAGGGGGGTCCCCGCCGGACCGCCGTGAGTGAGTGGAGGGCAGTGCGGCTCTCCGGCGCGGGAGCCGGGTCGGGCCTGAGGCCCGGGGTGGTCGCCGGGCTGTGCCCGGAGCCTCCGTGCGCTCTGCCGGGCATGGGGGGGGGGGCGGTGGGAGCTGGGGGGGGGGGGCAGGGCCGGGCAGGGCTCTGGAAAGTTCTCCGGGGGCGGGGGGCCGGCGCCGCCTGTGCTGAGGTCACCGGGATCGGAGATGAGGGAGCAGCCACGTGGAGGCGGGTAGCGGGCCGCGCCGGCGGGGCCGGGGGACAATGGAGGAGAGGCGGGCCCGCTCCGTTTTGCGATGGGAGGGGGAGCAGGAGCGCAGATGGCTTTTGGGGGACGCAGAGGGGTCACACTGAGGTTGGCCGGGGTGGGGGTCGCGGGTCCGGCGCCGGCCCTACCCTCGCCGACCTGCCTTGGTGGGGGAGGAGGGGGAGGGCCGGACCGGTCCCATCAGCTCGGTTCCAGATTCAAACGGGCTTAGGCACGTGGCCAAGGGGCCTGGGAGGGGGCTCAGGGTGCCCCATCCGGGCGTGCTGCGCCCAGGTGGGTGCGTGGGGGCGCCCCCGACTCCCGGCCTTCGCGCCCCACTTGGGCACTTGGGGGGGAAGGGGCTCGATGGCTGCCTTTGTGTGAAGGTCTGTGGTCGGCCCCTCCTGGGGCGCGCGCCCAGCCAGGGGCCCCCACGGATGCCCTCAAGACCCAGGACAGAGCCAGGCGAGGACTAGGGTGACCTTCCAGGAACCAGATAAAAGCTAAGGTTCTGGAGAACCGGGAGTGCCAGACCATCTGGTGAAATCGACACTCGAGCTCTTTGTGGGGGGCGGGAGGGGGGAGGAAAAGTTCTAGAAAGAAGCCTGGTCAGCGAAAAGTGAGCTACGCAGAGTGGTGTGTGCCGTGTCACAGTGACCTGCATTCTGTGGGTGTAGGTAGTAGCATCCTCGGGTTTTGCAAGGATTGTCTCCAGCTTGCTTATACAACGGTGTGTAAAGCCTTTGATCTTATTAGGTATTGTTGGAAAGTCCCAGAAATACTACATGGTAGCATGGAAATATTGTTTTGGTAGTTTGGTCACTAAAAGTTAATTCTAATCCCTTCCCCTCTTTTTATTTTTTTCCTAAAGGAATAGGAAAGTGTGAAAATCGTCTTGGAGATATATAACTGGAAAATGTAAGTGTCATTTTTTAAAATTAGCTTTACCAAAAAATACCACATTGGCCTTTGTAAATCCAAAATCTTCACATACAAACATGGAATCTGCAAGCTATTTTTATTATTTTTTTAAACAAATTAAAAAACCCGTTTCCATTTCCTGGGGAGTTTATTTCGATTTTTTTATCATTAGCTGCACATAGGAAACCTGCAAGCTTTTTAAGGGTTATTTTCACTGTCTAGAACAGCCTCAAGATTAAAATACAATATTGTTTTATGTAACATACATTCAGGAGTATGCATACCATTCTGTGTTCATATAACAATAAATGGGTCTTGGTCCTAATTTATTGCAATTGTAACCTCTGCCTATTTTGAAGGGTCCTAAGTTGAACAGAGGTGATGATGAATTACGTTCTCAAATTTAGCTAATTTCTATTTCTGTGGATTAGTATTGTGTGAATATATAATATGCAAAAGCCTTAAAAGTATTCATGTTCAGAAATTAAGATTCATATTCCCCAAATGGCAATTTTTCTCTAAAATCATTACCTGTATCCTACTGGTAGCCTATTAGCATTTCTGCAAAGCCTTTCCCTCCCACCGGGTGTTACCTGCTCTTTTTGAACGTCTGTTACAGGTTACTCTTGGGAGTGCTAGCACAGCTTTGTTTTTGTATATCTCACATCTAGAATAGCTCTGGCATATATTAAGAGCTTTTAATTTGGACAGTGTTTTGTTCCCATGAATAAGAGTGGATTCCTGAAACCAGATTAAACATTTTAAGTGGGAAGGATGAGTTTAATAGTTGAAGTCTTGTGCTATTGACCTTTATTGCTGGTATAGGGGCAAAAGTTCTTTTTTTTCCCCACACCTTCCCAGCATTTCCAACATGCCCATCAGTGAAGAGGGAAGAGGAAAATCTAAAGAGAATAGTGTAATTTTAGATTCAAGATAATGGAATTTTGTTTAGCACTCTGGGCCTACATTGAAGCTTAAGGATAACCACTTCCTTGGAAGTAAAACAAAGTAATTATCCACTTTCTTGGAAGTTAAAGAGGGGGATCTTTTCAGCTTTAGCCAGAAATCTAAGGGGACTGGAATTTTATGAAATTTAAGAAAACTCAGTTTTTATAGAAAGCTAATGACAGCAAAATGTTTCTATCCGAATTGAATTTTGAAAATAAATAGTATGTTACAGTGAATGTATTTTCTGGCATTACTTAATGCCTCTGCAAAATCATAAATCAGGAAACTTCTATTTTTGATCCACTCTTAAGTATGTCAAGAAAGTAGTGATGGGGCTGGGAAGGTGGCTCAGTGGTAGAGCTCTTGGCCTTGCATGCCTGAGGCCCTGGGTTCGACTCCCTCAGCACCACATAAGCAAAAAGAAAAAAGCTGGAAGTGGCGCTGTGGCTCAAGTGGTAGAGCACTTGTCTTGAACTGAGCCCAGAGTTCAGGCCCCATGACCGGACCCCCCCCCCCCCCCCAAAAAAAAAAAAAAAAAAAAAGAAAGTAGTGATGTATGTTTGGAAGATCTTTAATAGATTTTTGGTTTGGTTTGGTTTTTTGCCACCTTATTCATCTCCCCATTCACAATACAGACCAGGCACAGCTTGGGCTGAGGTATATATGGAGTGGGTTTAGTCTGCCTCCTCTTTTTATATAGTCAGTGTAAGAACACAGCCTGTGGAAGCACCAGGAGGACAGATCTTTAATATTCTCCCTAGAAACAGAACCAGTAAAATAGGTATATTGTACGGGTATTTGTTCTTTGTTTTTTTGGTTTTTTTTTTTTTTTAAGCAGTCCTAGGGCTTGAACTCAAGGCCCGGGCACTATCCATGAGCTTCTTTTACTCAAGGCTAGCACGCTACACTTGAGCCACAGCACCTCTTCTGCCTTTTTCTGTTTATGTGATACTGAGGAATCGAACCTAGGGCTTCATGCATGCTAGGCAAGCACTTGACCATTAAGCCACATTCCCAGCCCTATATGATGTTTTAATAAGGAACTGACATGCATTTTTGGAGGCTAGCATGTTGAGTTGTCAAATTGGAAACTTTATAGTGCTCATGGTATAGTTGTGTTCTGAGTTGAAAGATGAGAAAAGGCTAGTCTCAGTTCAAAGTCATGCAAGGGAGAATTTCACCATGAGGATGGTTGATCTTTTTGTTTTATCCAAAATCACCATCACGGAAATTAATGATATGTTTGGGGATGATTTTTTCATAAATTTGGTACATGAAAGTAAATGGAGGTTTGACCCACACGGTAAAGTGCCCACTAGTCTTGAGTGAACAAGCTAAAAGAGAGATAGCTCTAGCAAGAGGCCCAGCATTCAAGCCCTTCACACAAAACGAACCAATATCTAGTTCCCTCTTACTCCTTAGGGTAGAGAAAGATTTAATTACAGGACACAAGGCAGCCATTAGACCATTTCAGCTGGTCTTTGCCATCTTAGAATTGTATCATCCCTCTCTGATTTTAGGATTCACAATGTAATTTCCCCTTTCTTCCAGTCTTGAACTCTGACCTTGGGCTTGTTCTGCTTGCTTTGCTTGTGGATACCTCCCTACTCACTTAAGCCATGCTTCTTGCCTGGCTTTTTGCTGGTGAATTATTTTCTCTTGAGCATCAGCTTCCATATTCATAATATAAAATGAAACAATGTATTCATGTAGAGAACTGCTGTAAGGAAGAATTTGAGATTAAAATAATTGACAGTTTCTTGCTTGTAACAAGTGCTTTTGGTGTTAAATTAGGATTAATTGCTTACCACTTGTTTTACAGAACTGGAGCTTTACAAGGAGATGTAGTACCCACCTTAAAAAAAGGTTTTGGTTTTCTGTTTGCCCAAAGCCCAATCCAAAAAAAAATCTCTGTATAATGCCTTTTATAGGATGAATTTTGTATGATTTGAAAGAGCAACAGAAACATTTATTTGGTATACTATGGAAGCACAGTGGGTTATATTCCTACCAGCAGATTTGATCTCTGTTTATATCCAGACACTTTCATTGCTATTCTTCCTGATTTAGAGTTGAAAGCACAGACTCCCTCTAAAGCCAGACCTTTCACTTTCTCACAGAATGGGATCCACGCCAGCTTATTTCACATCATTGTATTTTTCTCCTCCAGTCTAATCAATTTTTCTATCATTCTCAGACATTCTAGTATATATTGAATACAATTTGATATATAAGTTTTACCCAACTTCTGATGGTCTGACTTAAAATGATGTGAAAGTGTTAAGAGTTCAGTATGCTCACCTACAAGACAGCAGGTACAGCTTTGACCTGTAGCATGACAACTGGCAAGCTGTGTATTCCATGAAGTTATCCATCAGCAAACCACATCGTTAGTACCAAGGACCATAGGTCTATCCAGATGAATGTGGCTGAGGTCAACAAGATCCCAGGCAGGTTCAATGGCCAATTTAAAACATATGCTATCTGAGATGCGATTCGCAGGTTGGTGAGTCAGATGACTCCATTCTCCAGATGACTCCATTTTCTAATTGGCCAAGGCTGATGGCACTGTCTGAACTTCTGACCATTGGATATGGGGGTATAGAATATTTGTCATAAGTAAACAGAAGCAAAAAACTTTGGAAAGTACTGTACTTAGATGTTTTTTGTTTGTGCTGGTATTGAGGCCTGGTATCAGGGCCTGGGAGCTGTCCCTTAAGTTTTTGCTAAAGATTAGCACTCTACTACATGAGTCACAGCCTCACTTGGAGCTTTTAGGTATTACTTGGAGATGAGTCTCTTAGACTTTTCTACTGGGAGAGAAAATCTGGCTTTAAACTTGACTGAGTAGTTAGGGTTTGAGGCATGAAGGAAGCACTGGCACCTGGCTGTATTTAGATTTTTTGTTTTTATTTTTATTTTTTCTTGTCAGTTGTGGAGCTTGAACTCATGGTCTGGACACTGTCTCTGATCTCTTTTGCTCAAAGCTAGTTGTCTACCACTTTGGACCAAAGTTCCACTTCTGGTTTTCTGGTGGTTACAGAATCTCACAGGCTTTCCAGCTTGGACTGGCTTTGAACCACTATCTTCAGATCTCAACCTCCTGAGTAGCTAGGATTACAAGCATGTGCGACTGGCATGTGGCTTGTACTTAGAATTTTGATCTAATGGTATGCTACCCAGACAAGACTTACAATATTGAGTGACAGGAAAGAGTCAAAGCTCTTGTGAAATGTGTGCTTATATGGATAGTCAACACTTGATAGTATACTGTGTTGGTATGATGTTTGGTAGATAAGGTATATTGAAACTTTTTTTTTGGCAGTACTGTGGTTTGAATTTGCAACCTCTGAGTAACACCTCCAACTCTAAAACACATTTTTTGATTTGACAAAACTTTCAACTTAAAATAAATTCACCAGAGATAACACTGTTACAAGTCAAGAAGTATTTGTATTTTAAATACCTTCTGAAAGTTCTCCCCAGGCTTTAGATCTTCCCTACTCACAAATGTTCTCCTGTCTCAGTATCTTTTTTTTTTTTTTTTTTCTTTTGGTTGGTCATGGGGCTTGAACTCTGGGCCTGGGCGCTGTCCCTCAGCTCTTCAGCTCACGGTGAGCGCTCTACCACTTGAACCACCGAGCCACTTTGGTTTTCTGGTGGTCTATTGGAGATAAGAGTCTCACGGACTTTTCTGCCTGGGCTGTCTTTGAACCGTGATCCTCAGATCTCAGCCTCCTGAGTAGCTAGGACTACAGGTATGAGCCACCAGCGCCCAGCTCAGTATCACTTTACAGTTAAACTTCCCAGGAGTTTTGAGTGCCTTCTTCATCACCTTATGCACTTATTTCCTCAGACCACTCCAAATGATCTTTGTCCCCATCACTTTCTGAATTGCTGTCCATGGCTACTCAGTGTTGCCCTAGTAGTTTTTTTGTTTTGTTTTGAGACTGTTTCACTGTGTAACCCAGGCTCTGGTGTCCTGCCTTGACCTCCTTAATGCTGGGATTACAGGTATATGTCATCAAACCAGGACAGGACTTCTTAAAAAATTATGTTTTTATCTTTAAGTAGTCTACAAAGGATTTGCAAGTAAAATGAATCTTGATCATCTTCCCTATCAGGCCAGGGCTTACTCTTGGACTCTTTAAATGTTCTTAGACATTGTTTGGACTTGTCTTCTATTGCTCAGACTTTTATCCAGTCATGTGCTGTAAGTGCCAGTACTACATTTATAATCTCCAAATGTAAATCTCCAGATTGTTCTTCTGAACTTCAGACTTTTTCTATATGGCATCACATCCCACTACCAGATATTTAGTAAGCATCTCAAACTCTTGGCCCCACCCCAAGCCTTCTACCCTATAGTCAAGCTTAATAATTAGCAGTATTCACTGGTTCCTTGGAGTAAAAACAGAAGAGTCTTTTGGGTTAAATTCCTTTTCTCTCACACCTTGTATCTTATTAGAAAGCCATATGCAAAATTCTATCTTTTATCATTATCACCACTGTTGACTTCCCAACTCAAGACAACAGGATTTCTGCTGTAGATGTCAGTACTAACTTGCTGCCAGTTTTGGGAAACAGTTGCAAGTTCTTTAGCATCTAGACAGAGACTTTTTTGTTTAAGGTTCTGTTTTCCATTGTGTTAAGGATAATACTAAGTCCTTATCCAACAAGTCCTTAAAAGCCTTTTTCTGACCTCCTGTGGACTTTGGTCCTTCTTTACTGAGTTCTAACCACATTATCTTGTTCTTCTAACACAAAGCTAAGAAGCTTTACAGCTCTTTTGTACTTTTTCCTTTGCCTGGAATGCTCTTCTCATACATATACACACATACACATAAAACATATATTATAAACATGCATTCAAGATTCAGCCAAAAAAGGGCTAGGTGGATGCTTGCCTAGCATGCATGAAGCCCTGGGTTTGATTCCTCAGTACCACATAAACAGAAAAAGACTGAAGTGGAGCTGTGGCTCAAGTGGTAGAGTGCTAGCCTTGAGCAAAAGAAGCTCAGGGTCAGTGCCCAGCCCCTGAGTTCAAGCCCCAGGACTGGCCCCCCCCCCCCCCAAAAAAATTAATTAAGCAAGAAGAGAAATCGCAAACAGAATTTTCCTGTGTATCACCTTCTGACAAAATATGCATATAAAAAAATCAGTATATTTAGCTCACAGTTCCGAAGGTTTCACAGGGCAGCACCCACGCCCAGAGTTCAAGCCCCATGACTGACAAAAAGAAATAGAAGGAAATCACAAGGTTGGTCATGAAGAAGAGACTAAGTTAGGGCCAGGTTCAGGCTTTTATAACCTCCAAATTAAGTAGGCTTGTAGGAGAAATACCTTAACCTCTTTTGAGGGTTGTACCCTCAAATCACCTACTAGCTCCTCCCCATCTTTTGAAGACTTGGTTTCCACATTACCACATTGAGAACTGAACCTCCCAACACATAGACAGAACTGTAAACTGTATCCAGATCTGTTTCTTGCCTTCATAGCTTGCATCACTACCTGATATTTTTACCTCTTCTCCCCTCTCCCTTCCTTCTTCCCCTTTCTTCTATATAATCACAAGGAGAGCAAGGTCTTTGCCTTTTCCCCCTGCTGTGGAATGATGCCTGCTTCATAACTGTGGATTCATAAATCAGCGATTAAGAAAGAACAGGTCTAGCTGGGCGCAAGTGGCTCACATCTGTAATCCTAGCTACTGATCAGGCTGAGATCTGAGGATCTGCATTT